TAACATTCCTGTAGCTTCACTACCAGCATTTATTGAATTCCTACTATGTGATAAGCACTGGAGCATCGCTAGTAGCTGAACACAGTTGAGTTGAGCACCTACTGTGTGCCAGAGGATTGAAGACTACCCTTCTGGATCCAGTATATGTTCATGGGGTTTCTGAATACTGGGGCTCCCCTACCTCACTCCGTATGTATCTACTGAGCATCTACTGCGGACTAGGACATTAATCTGGGCAGTGGTGCTGAATATAACAGATACTTCTAACTTTCCTCTCTGTAACACTGGGAGGTGGATGTAACTCCGCTAGTTCCCAGCTGAGGAAATTCTGGCCTGGAGAATGTAAGGCAGCACTCCCAATGGCAGTGTCATTCAGGACAGCCCCAGACAAGGTCCCCCGGTCACCAAGCTCTGTTAGCTTGTGTTAGCTTTGTACTGACCACAGAGTCCTGCAGAAGGCCACAGAGACAAGAACATTGCTTTCTATTGGCTCACCTCCAAGGGACCCTACTTCAGTTACCTCCTTTCTGTTCCATAGGAATGTCCCCTGTCCCTTGTTCTACCTGGAGATCATAATTCCTACCTCTCACGGTTGCCAAGGAGCGGGAGAGACACCAGCCTGTTTTCTTCCCTGATCCCAGCACAGGGCAGAGCACAGATGTCCATGAAGCTGTCATGGCTGTGATCATTCACCATCTTTGTATTTGAGCCACCTCAGAGCCTGTTCTTTGGAGTGACTAAGGGATAGGCTGCAGAAGTCCCCGCATGTCTCAGGAGCCTCTCTTCAGAGACTAACCCCATCACTGGCATTCATTGTCGCAGCCACTCCGCGAGCCCTCTATGCTGTAGCATCTCCTTGGCCAGGGCTGAGAGTCAGGTGGGCATCTTTACTGTCTGCCATGCCTCTCTCACAGGAGGCTGACAAGGGCATTCCAGCCAGGCCACCCTGAAGGACACCTGAAAGGCAAGACTGAGTGTCCCAGGCCTGGGTACCTGAACATAGGCAATACTTGAAGGTTGTCGAACCAGGACAGAATGTGCCAGCCTCAAGTGGCAGAGCCAGAATTCTTCCCCAAAGCCCAGAGGATGTCTGGACTGATAAATCCCACAGTGTATGTACAGAATGTGGATACAGAAACTTCATGCACAGACAGCTGATGCAGACAGCAACAGGGAAGACTGAGAGCAATGGGAGTGAGGGGCGTGGGTTCTGTGCAGTGGAGCTGAGGAGGAGTTCTCTACTTCTCACTCAACATCCCCATCCTCTGCGATCCCCCCAGGAATCCACGTATTGTGGTTTGTGTCTCTGTTGATCCTTCAGAGGCATCAGACCTTCCCAGGAAGGTGGGGCTCAGTCCTGGATCCTGTTCATGTAGCCAAGCCACACTTGTAGCCGTCAGGGCCACCAGCCCAGGACACCTGCACCTTGCATAGACACACACAACTGCAGACCCCCGTCTGAGTTCCTGGCTGATACTGCCTCCCATCCTGCCCCTGCCTTGCTTTCCCAGAGATGAAAAAAAAACAGTACCTCCTGTAATTCTCCATCCCCCCATCTTGTCCTCACCTCTGCCTCCCTCTTCTCTCCCCTACCAGCGGGGCCCTCCATCTTCCCTCCAGTCCCTGCCTCTCCCCCACCCCAAGGTCTACAAGGTGCCCCCCCACTCTGCAGCAGCTCTTCTCACTCCCCAGTCCTTTTCCTGTCCTTCCTTTCCTCTCCTCATTCTGCTCCCTTCCCTTCTCCTCTACCCTGATTAAACTCACCATTTACTGAGCACCTAGTGTGAGCCAGGCTGAGTACTGAGTACAGGGCTGAGACATGTCATGCTGACATGAGTTTGAAGCCTTTGACCCTTCTCCTATATGTGTGTGTTTCTCCTCCTCCACACCTTCCTACCTTCCTTCAGCTTCTGGTCATTCCATTTTTTCCCACCTTGCCCCGGCATCTGAAGTCAACAATCATGGTAGGAATTGGGAGCAATGGGACTACAGAGTCCTAGGAGAGCCAGCAGCAGGCACCCTTGATGTCATTCCCCACCCCAAGCGGCAGGCGATGAATGAGACCGAGGTCTGAGATACATTAATCACCCCCACCTCCTTTCCAGGCCAAGACAGCACAGAAATGACTTTTGTCAGCTTGGGGGCAGCCCACTGGCCCTGACAGCACAGAGCTGTTTATTCAAAAGGAGAATGAAATGAAAAGAGTGTGAAGGCACACGTGTGCATGCTTGTGCGTGTGTGTGCATGTGTGTGTATGTGTACTTGTGTGTGGTGTGTGTATGTGTGCGTGTGCGTGTGTGTGTGTGCATGTGTATGTGTGTGTGGTGTGTGTATGTGTGTGTGTGTGTGTGGTGTGTGTGTTCCAGAGCACTGCTCTCCACAGTGTGTGTGTGTGTGTGTGTGTGGTGTGTGTTCCATAGCACTGCTCTCCACAATGTGTGTGTGTGTGTGTGTATGTGTGTGTGGTGTGTGTATGTGTGTGTGTGTGTGTGTGTGTGTGTGTGTGTGTGTGTGTGGTGTGTGTTCCAGAGCACTGCTCTCCACAAGCATGCCTTTGGGCTGCACACTTGATGCTCAGGCAGGTCCAGCTGTGATGGGATGGGAAGTGACAGGCAGGGCATAGGAAAGAAGGCAGCTGCTGGGGGAGAAGTGTGAAGCTTTGTTTCAGCACGCGGGACCACCCACTTCTCGCTGAGTGATACAAGGTCACTGCCTACGTGGTCGTCAGTTTTCCCTTTATCTGTTTTAGTTCCACTTGTGGTCTCACTGTGTCGAGTGGTGGGTTACCGGAGGTGGGAGGGTAGGGGTGGGATGGTAATAACTAAAGTCATTTGCGATTGGTGTTACTTGTTCGTGCATTCTCCTTGATTGAAGGACAGAGGCCAAGTACAGAATCAAAATTGCTTTCTTTGTTTTCCTAACCAACTGCCCATGAGGCCAACATTGCAGAACAGGGAAAGTTGGGCTCCCTGAAGGATAGGAGAACACACAGAACAGAGGTTAAATATGGGGAGGTCCTGGCTACTTGTCATTGTCCATCCTTGCTGTGCCTAGTCTGCAGCATGGAGCAGGGGACAATGGGTGCAGCCAGCCCTATGTTCCATCCGCATGAAACTGTTTGGCAGGACCACGATGGTCTGGCAGCGTCTCACAAATGCCATGCTGGCCAGACCCCTAGGAGAGAAACCCATGGGATGGGTGAGGCTCTGGCCTCCAGTGTCCTTGGAGCCATGATAACAAAACACCTTAGTCCAAGCGGCTTGTAAACCACAGAAGTTGATTCCTCAGCATCTGCAGGTTGAAAGTTCAAGTTCACAGCCCCAACAGATTTCTGTCTGTCTCATGGGTGGCTGTCTTTACTATCCTGGCTTGGAAAAATGGGGTAACTGGGTTGCCTGGGGGGGTCGTGTGTGTGTGTGTGTGTGTGTGTGTGTGTGTGTGTGTAGATCAGAGATCAACCTCAGATGGAGCCTCAGAATTCATCCACCTCGGGTTTTGAGACAGGCCCTCTCAGTAGCCTGGAGCTCACTGATGAACACAGCTGGCCAGCTGTGGTCTGCAGGGGCCACCTGTCTCTCCCTCCTCAGTGCTGAGATGACAAGTGCACACAGTCACAACAGCCTTCATGTGTCAGTTTAGGGCCTCACATTTGTGTGACAAGCACTCTACCAACTGAACCATCCCCCTAGCGCTGGAGTTTTGTGTAAGGGTAAAAAAAGGGCATTAATCCCATACATGAACTCACCCTCAAACCTCATCACCCCCAAGACTCCACTGCCTAACTCCTGTGGGGTATAATCACAACCTAAGAATATGGAGGTTGGCAAAGACCTGGCCCTCTAGCCCAGCTGTCCCCTCCTGTCCCCTGACAGTCATCTCTCCTGGAGACCTCAGTGTGGTTATATCCTCAGATTCCAGAATTCCACCCCCCCGTGAACTACCCTATGTGATTGGGTGGAGGTGACAAACTCCAGTCAGGAGCAGGATGCTTTTCTGAAAGCTTCCTACCAGCATCCCAGCCACCTTTAGCACGTGGCAGAGCCCCTACACTTGTCCCATTGTCACATACCCAATGAGCAGCTGGAGCCTGAGGACCCCCAGTTACCACCTCACTGCTGGCCTGCTCGGGCAGCTTTGTCTGCCTTTCCCAGACCTAACATCTGGTGTTCCTTTCTGTTTCTAAATAAATCATGAGACTTCAGTGGTGGGTGGACAGGGCCTTGTTTCCCTAAGAAGGGAGCACAGAAGTATTTTATTACACTGCTGGCCTGTCACCTTGATCCTTTAAAGAACACCTCCTCCACACACACCACTCAAGGCTTTGGCTTTGGGGATGTGACGCAGGGCTGCCGCACACTGCTACATAACAATGGAGGTTATTGCATCCCAGAATAGAAACTGCCTGTCCCTCCTACCACCCCTGCTCCCTGCTCCCCAACCTCTGGCTTCAAGTTGATTTCATATGAATCTTTTCCTTTAGGAAAATGCTCTTAACTGCCCCTGTCCTCCACCCCATGAAGTCATCAGCGGTCTCACGAAGTATCTCACCAAGACACAACGATGCTACCCGAAGCTCCAGCACCCCACTTGTTAGAGTCACCCTCTGAGTTTGGCCTTGAATAAGTCACCCTGCATGTTTCCCCTGCAAGCATGGAAAAATGGATTGCTTATCACACACCAGGCTCTGGAAGGATGGTCTTTCGTGTCAGACAGAATGTCCCATAAGTCCAAGTCACCCATAGTAGCCTCAGTGTTGATCCACTCAAATGCACTTAGCTGGGTTTAATTATAGATAGAAATTGCATCTCAGAAAGCAACACAAAATCATTTACACAGCTGGAGTTTCCACATCAAATCACATGATTCACTTGAGGCTGCAGCAGGGACCGCCTTTACAAAGATAGAATAATGCTCACGCCTGGGCTCAGTAGCTCTTGTGTGGTACTCGAAAATCGTATGAATTGCCATTTCTAGCAGTTGCATCTTTCTTCTTTATACAGAGTAAGCAAAGAGGCTGGAGATGCTGAAAGGCTAAGACCATTGTCCTCGGCACTGAGTGGAACCTGGGACACTCCCAGAGAGACCTCGAGGGGTGGTTCAGTGTCTCTGCACCCAGTCTTCCCACCAAAGCCCTACCATTTGGGGGATGGAGAAGGCTTTGCTGTCCACAGAAAGGCCGTCCCAGAGCGACCAGAAACTCTGTCCTCGTCTCCCACTTCTCAGAGCATGGCTATGTCACCCCCGCCCAGGGACAAACTACCGAGCCCGTCGGCTGCTCTCTCAGAGTTTGTTGAAGAACTCCGCAGAAAGAGGGCCCAGAGAGGTCACCATTCCTCTCTGCGCCTGGGGGAGGGGCCCATGCTCCCTATTTTCCAGACCACTGGGGCTTCCTCACTTAGGAGGGGCAGAGCCAACAGCGATGAGGGAGACCTCTCAGTGTGGACCCGGGCAAAATCTCCTCTGGGAGCAGAGGGAAACCCCAAGGCCACAGCTGGTCTCTCACGGTCCACCAGTCTCAAGTGTATCGCCTCAGAGGACACTGAGGACATGGCCCTGCTGCCTCACAAGCAGAAGACACGGGTTGGTTCCTGTGAGTCCCTCTTAGAGTTGGGACCCAGCACAAGGAGAAAATCGGGCTCTCCCGCGGCACTCAGGGACCCCAGCCCTCCTGTGGCACTCAGGGACCCCAGCTCTCCCGTGGCACTCAGGGACCCCAGCTCTCCCGCGGCACTCAGGGACCCACTCTTATCACCTACCCTGCGGCCCAGGAGGCGGTGTCTGGAGTCCTCTGTGGACGATGCCGTCGGCTTAGACCTTGGGAAGGAATCTCTCGTCTTCCAGAACCGCCAGTTCTCTCATCTGATGGAGGAAACTCTGGACAGTGATCCATTCAGCTGGAAGCTTCCAAGCCTCAACTACAGACGCCAGACCAAAGTGGACTTTGAAGACTTTCTCCCAGCCATCAGGAAAGCCGGCACTGCTTTGTCCGCGGCTGCCAGAGACGAGAAGGAGGCTTCAAAACATCCAAACGTCCACTTTGAGACGGAAGAGGCTGACCGCTCTTTTCTCTCGGGGATCAAAACCATTTTGAAAAAGAACCCAGAATCTAAGGAGGACCCTGCTCACCTCTCTGACTCCTCCTCATCCTCGAGCTCCATCATATCCTTCAAAAGTTCAGACAGCATCAAGAGTGGTCCAAGAGTCCCAAGACTCCAAGGTGACGGTGGCGAGCAGATGTCCCCTGAGCACAGAGAGCCTGGCACCATGAGGAAAGGTGATGACGTTGAGAGCATCATGAGGAAGTATCTCCAACCGTAGGGTTTGGTGCAGGTAAGGACGACAAGTTAGGTCAGCCCCAGGCCAGGCAGCCTCCAGGGATATGGGGGTTATGCTTTAAATCCTGGGGTGGCTTGCTCCAAGGTGTCAGGGCTGTAGCTGAAATCACATATGGCACCATATGATGTAGGAGGATACAGCGGAAAGCAGAGGTCCGGGGGACAGTGCTGACCGAGGGGAAGACAGATGCTGGCAGACAGCTCGGTGGCTAAAGTGCTTTCCCAAGAATGGCGACTTGAGCTTAGATCCCCAGCACCCATGTAAAAACCAAACAGGCGGGAAGCCAACCTAGGATGTGGAGACCAAGGAGCCCTGCCTGACATCTGGGCTAAACAAACAGACAAGCCCTGGGTACAGAGAGACCCGGACTCAACATTTAAGGTGGAGAGAGACTCTAGGAGACTTCACTTGCTGTCAGTCTTAGGCCACCACAGGCATGTGCTTACACATCTGCACACATGTGCATCCACACACATGCAAAAGTGAGTGACAGGTTTGGGGAGGTGGCCCAATCAATGGACTGTTAGCCCTGCAAGCGTAAGGATTCGAGTTCTATCCCCAGAACACACGTAAAAATTGTCGAGTGTAGTGGCTGTACGTGTAACCCTGGCACTGGAGAAGAGGTGACAGTGGGAAGCAGGGGCTCATGGCCAGCCATGCTAGCCTAGTTAGTGAGTTCTAGGTTGAGTGAGAGACACCGTCCCAAAAGGCAAGGAGGATATCTCCTGGAGAAGAACTCCTGAGGGTGTCCTTCTCGTCCTGACAGGCACACACATGTATGCACACAAACACATGTACACATATGCACATATGCACACAAAGATGGTACAGGCCTTTTAGTGGCCCCATTGAGCCTTCTTTTCTTAACCTCTTTCCACTGGGGGCTGAGGGGGCTGGTGTGCATTCTATCTTTGGAATGCTCTCACTGAGCCACCGAAGGTCAGATTGGAGAATGCACGCCAGACGGTGAGATCAGCTTTATCTGTGGAGAGAAACTGGACCCCCAGGGATGGGATGGAAACATGTGCAGAGTCCAGAGCCCAGCAAGAGAGCAGCCGGGTTTCCTCCACCTCATCTCTGTTCCCAGCCGGAATCCTACTTCTTCCCTAAGCCAAGCGCAGGATAGGTGTCCCTCCCATGCAGACCGACTGCTGTCAGATGCATGTATCAGCTGCAGCTCACTGCTCACAATAACCCAGAGGTGATTAGCACTAGTTACCATTTATCCCCATTTGCCAGGCAGACCAACTGAGGATCAGAGAGTTCAAAATCACCCAGGCAGGCCTGAGGCCCTGAACTCCAGAACCCTCCCATCTCTCTCCAAGGCTCGTCCTTAGGTCCAGCACACAGGTGTCTTAAGAAAGGAAGTCATTGCTGCTCTGTATGCCACACACAGGCAGCACTAATGTTGCTCTGGCGCGCAGGTGCTCAGTGTGGGCACAGCCACAGCCCCCAGGCCTCCTGGAAGCCCAAGCTCACGCTCACCTGCTCCTCTGAGAGGTACCCTCAGCCCATGGTCAAGTCACTGCCCCCTCCGCAGAGACCAGCTCGAGCTATATCCGAGCAAATTAATTTGACTTAGCATGGCCTTCTCTCTGCTCTCAATTACTGAGTAAAGATCTGATATTCATTTACATTATTATGCTCTCAGGGACGGGGAAGCAGTTTCAAAGGCCAAGTAAAGGGCATGCATCCGCAAGGGGATGGTGCTTGGTACACACTGGCCCGAACACCTTGTCTCTGCCATTAGTATTTCTTTTAACTCAAGCACCCTCTTCTCTCTGAGGGAAGTTCACTCTACTGGGGAGCACCGACCGCATGTCTCCCAAATTCCCAGGCTGCGGTTCTAAACCATACCGAACAGCCCAGATAAACCCCAGGTCCAGCCCTCCCTCCCCACTGCTAACCATGAGACCGTGGGTGGGCCATGGGGCCTAATCAACATCTGTGTCTCCAGTAGGGTGGGTAGTGGACAGTAACCAGTAATGAGAATTTAAAAGATTAGCTCGGTTAGTGTTACATGCCTGTGATTCCCATGCTGGGGATATTTGGGCAGGAGGGTCACAAGTTCAAGGCCAGCTTGGGATATATAATGAGACCCTGTCTCAAATACAAACACACACACACACACACACACACACAGATGTCCACACACATTCATGTATATATACATACACATTTTATACATACATGTACATATATGCACACATATACATTCATACATACATGTACACATTCTCTCTCTCTTTCACACACACACACAGAGAGAGAGAGAGAGAGAGAGAGAGAGAGAGAGAGGAAGAGAGAGAGAGGAAGAGAGAGAGAGAGAGAGAGAGAGAGAAATACAAGCAATGGAAACAGCCTGGCCTCAGCTCAGTGGAGAGCAGGTTGTTTTAACCTTGACACTGTGTCCCGTGTGGCCTCCTTCCCATCCCTGTGATCCACTCACAGAGAAGAAAGGTTACAATGGCTCGGGGTTCTGGAAGCTCTGGTTCATGGCTCCATGGCTTTGGGCCTGTGGGGGAGTACTCCAAGGGTGGGCAGGGAAGAGGAGAGAGAGGCAGAGACTAGGATCTATAGTGGCCTTACAGGGGGTTCCCCTGAGTGACCCCAAACAGCCCACGGGACCCCTACACTGGAAGTTTCCACACATCCCACTAACATCAGGTAAAGAAGCCTTTAGACTTGGGCCTTTGGGTACTGCACAGATCCAAAGAATAGCAACCCCTTAGAAATCTGTCCTGCTTCCTCCAGAGGCATCCCCCCACACACCCTGTGTTCTCTCTAGTAAGCCTCCCCATGCCAGGCTTGCCAGCCTGCACCTCATTCTTTAACTCCTCTTTGTTTGCTTCCAGCCTCCCCAGACACCGGGGCCACCAAAGACACCCTACTCCAAACCTGTGGAGAGAAAGAGAGAGACCCCCAAGCTCCTGGGGTCCTCCATCAAGAGCCAGGAAACCTGGCCACTCTCAGGATGTGGGACAGGCCCAAAGAGACATGCCCCAGCAGGCCACCAGGCTGAACATATGCTTGGTCTGTATTAAATAAAGTTGGCTTCCTTGGGGTCTGTGTGGCTTCTCTGTTCATGACTCTGTTGGGAAGCAGGTGGGGGAGCAGAGCGAGGGCCCAAAAGATGGAACCAGCCCAAGGACCTGATAAGATGTGTTGAATGTCATCCGTTCCCTCCCACCATGTCTACTGGCCCTGGCCTGCCTCTTCATCAGATCATGGCCTGAAGTCCACTTTGGGTATCTTCCTCTGTCACTCTTTGCCCTGTTTTCTGAGACAGAGAGGCTCTTTGAGTGTGCACTGACTAACCCCCTGCCTGCCAGGCTGGCCCCAGACATCCAGGACAACTCCCTCCCTAGTGCTGGGATTACAGCTGTGTATCTGGGTATTAGTCGATTTTTCCCGTGCTAAAACAGCATGACCAAGGCAACTTAGAGAGGGAAGGGCTCTTGGTTCCTGACGGATAAGAGTCCATCACCATCACGGTAGAAAGTCGCAGGCGTGGTAGCTAAACCAGGACGTGAGGGCTCTCACATCATGAACCATGAACAAAAACAGAGAGAACAACTGGAAGCAGTGTCAGTCTTTAAACTCTCAGAACCCACCTCAGTGACATACTTCCTCTGAAGATCATCTTCCTGAGCCTTCCCAAACAATGCCACCAGCTGGACACTGAACACTCAAACACAGGAGCCTATGGTGGACATTCATTCAAACCACCCCAACCACCAAGCTGAGATACACTTTCAGGCTCTCATGTTTGTGTAGCAAACACTTTACTGACTGAGTCATATCTTGGGCCCAGATCATTGTCCTCCATCTTCCTGTATGCACACATTTACCTCCTTCCCATCCTGTTTTTATTGCTCTTCTTTGTGAGTATACAAGAACACATGAGCCCTTAAAAGCCCAACACCCTGAGCACACAAAACAGGCCATAACTGTGTCCCGTGTGTTCCAGAACCTGTGAATATGCACTCCCTCAGCCCCACCCACACCCGGCCCCACGCACAGTCAGCTTCACCCACATCTCAGCCCTACCCATATAGCCCCTACCACACTCAGCACCATTTACACTCAACCCCTCCCACCTCACAGTCCCTCCACACCCAGCCACTCCCACACTCAACTCTACCCACAACCATTCCCTCCCACACTCAACTCTACCCACAATCAGCCCCTCCTTCTCACAGTCCCTCCTACTTAGAGCTCCATCCACACACAGCTCCTCCTACAATCAGCCCCTCCTACTACAGCTCCACCCACTCACAGCCCCTCCCACAATCAGCCCCTCCTACTACAGTTCCACCCACTCAAGCCCCTCCCACAATCAGCCCCTCCTACTTACAGCTCCACCCACTCACAGCCCCTCCCACACGCAATTCTACCCACA